TTAGATTGCGTATAGTACAATCTCATTAGACCCTTCTCTGATTGCATTAAGAGAGGACAAAAGTGTGAAACTGAGACAGCCGCGTTTCCACGTAGAATCGTGTAAATTTTCTCGCTGTACTGTTCTGCGACGAATCGAATGATTTGGAAACCTGTTTGGCAATAACATGTAAATTCTAAATAAAATCATTTCGAACACCTACTATAAACATAGGTTTCATTTACTACCGTAAGTATCGCCTGTCTCTACTTTCTATGGCCTTCAATGACCTTATGTAACAAGTCGTTGAACTCGTTTTAACCCTTTGCGAACGAAGATTCTCTGAAATATACAAAACCCTCAACAGATGAAGCTGAATTATACATCAATTACTTGAGCAATAGAAAAATAGGAAACTACGTTCTGCTCTCTTTCTATTCGAGTAATTAAATCATTTATTAACGACTTACCTACCAAATATGAACATTTCATCTCGTCGAAATGTCGACATTCGTCCGCAAAGGGTTAAGATCCTCTATCATGATACGGCAGCAAAAACATACTGATCCATTCAAAAATGGAGGTGACCTTCAACCTTACGAAGTACCTCCACCTGCAGAAAAACTATTATCGCCACCGGATGACCCCCTTCGTACTGTGCAATTTCATTTCAGCATATATTTCTGTGAAACTTATAATTTCGAAGATATCTGAGGTGTTAATAGTTATTGCTCCACCCTGTATACATATATTAATTTATAATAGGTAACAACGAAATACAAAATGTATTACTTGAATTACTTATACACAACACAAGTAGCGATGCGACGTACGTGCGTCGGAAATGTTGAGCGCGTTTCGTCAGATTGTGAGTGCGCCGTCAGTTGTCCATATCGTTCAAATGCGCTGGGTTTTTTCGACATGAAATCTGAACTCTTACAATCAATTAACCCTTTGCTCTCGAGAGGCGTCTTACAGTCGCCACCTGATTCGACGCAGCAAACTTTCAAATTTTCCATTCAATATTAAACCTTGTGTAATGTATCAACATATAAAACATCGAAGTAAAATAGTTCTGTCTCCTAATTTATATAAGATAATCAATTGTGTTAGTTGCGAAAAATATCGTTAATATTTAGTCAGAAAGTAACGAATATTTTCAATGAAAAATATTGTCGAGTGTAAAGGGTTAAAATTAAATAAACGCAGTATACATGATATTAAGATACCTATCTTTGACTCTACATTAAATTTGTGAAGAGTTCTTCGTTTTTCAATGAGAATCATTTCCGGTCTGAGCGGAAAATTCAGCGTTGTCATTAAAGAATAACTATCGCTATTCAAAACGCTAAAATAATTTCTAGTCTTGATGCCGAACAATTGCGAACATTTTCTTGTCGAAAAAATAACTTTTGGAGGTACGATTAAAAGATTCACCCTATATAAAGTGCCGGTGCGTTCAGTGTCAACTTCAGACATGACGCAGGTTACAATGTACGTTGCTATTTTCAATATCTGATCAAATATTCATACCACGACGGGAAACGTACATGCACCCTGCATTCGAACCGCATATAACATTTTCTATTCACAACATATGTTATTGATGGTGCATTGAATAAGTCTTTCCTTAGGTAAGATCAATTTTCTATGAAAATCAAGTGTTAATCGTTTGAGTCCCATGTGTCTTCGAAAATCCGGTGGAAAACGCTAAACCATTAAATAACTGGCTGAAAAACTGAATTATGCTTTTCAATTATTACGTAAAAAGTTCTGAACGGCGAGATTGATTCGTTTTCCTATTTCTAAATAGGCAATGAAAGAGATAAGAATAAATGATTAAAATGGAAACGAATAAATAGACTCAATGTAATCCTACAAATCGATAGACACTTTTAGGTGGTGTAATGAAGAAGTCATTAGAGAAGAAGAAGCCACTCGAACGGTTAACACGTAGACTGCCACGAGAATTTCGAGCGTTTTGTGATAGTAACGATTTATTCCTTTATGGTAGAGGAAATTAGTATTACAAGTAATTATTAATGTTTTGGTATTACAGTACTCGTATTACACTATTATCTAACTTCTGATGTTACTAAATATTTCAATGCAATATCAATTTTCTTATTATAATTATTTTCAAGCAATTTGAATGCTCTGGTCATCGGTGACCATCGTGGCAGTCAACGTGTTAAGGGGTGAACCCATCGCGGAGAAGATTCTTTGAAATGTACAAAACCAAATATTAATATATTCGCATCTCGTTGATTTATTTCATTTTGCATCGTAAGCGCATATATGCGCTCCACCGTTGTGTAATTTGTATATCACAAAAAAAGGAAAGATATATTTTACGAGTGCAATAATTGCCGTGTGGCTATATAGGCTTTTTCCTTTTTATACGTTTCGAATCATTATTATTTTGATGCAATTGAATTTTCCACTTCCTCGTATAATGCAAATGGATTAACTCGAACTTTCACACACTCAGGAGTGACAGTTTGTCATTGTAACTTGAAAATTAGAAAATACATTTAATAAAGTTACTGAAACTATTGAATACATTGTTAATTCGTAGTCATACGGATATTTGTTAACACTAGGTTTACGGAAAGCGTCAAATTGACGCATATTGGATTTTAGAAATATTATTTTGTAAATGTTTACGCCGATTTTGATTGATGCCATCACACTGACATGTACCCCAATTACCTACTATCAAATCTCCAGTTTCCACAATTTAAATAAACGAGCATCAATTCTTTTAGGAATAATAGAATGAAGTGTACAATAAATGCCCGTAAACCTATTGTTAATTTCGTGCTACATAGATATTGTTATAGTCATGAACAGAAATTCGGCCCGTAGGGGGTTAAATTACTAGGCTTAATTAATAGGAAAACAGGAAACTACATCTGTTGATGTTTCGCTAATTAAATCACTCGTTAGCGACTTAGTCTCCCAAATATCAGCGTCTGAAATGTCGACATTCGTCGGCAAAGGGTTAAATCACTCACCCCGTAACCTAATCTATGATGTAGAGGGGAGTTTCGAACTGTCTATCGTGAAATTCGCGGGAAGCCAGAAACTTTCTGGCTGTCCCGGGTTCGAGCGGCGAGGCGGTACGTTTCGCTAAAGAGATGAGATTGACGCGGGGTTGGGGACGGCAAACGAGAGGGCACGACGCGTGTTGGGCTCGCGTCGGTCACGGACGACACGTCACGAGAACGTACGAGCGTGTTCAGGGTGAAACGTCAGCTTTAAAATTAGTTCCGAGGGACGATCGGGGCAAAGGAGCCTCGAATATTTTCGTAATTCAGCCGCGCGCGAATTTCTCCGAGGGCGGAACGCCGCCGGTTCCGGGGGATGCAACTGGAGGCTATAAAGCTCGAATTACATTTGTCCGCTGGAACTTCGCGACTACACCCGGCGCAAATGTTTCGTAACTGCGTTCAACCACGGTTCACGAGTCAGTTCCGTTCTGCGGAAATCACTGTGATCCGGGGCGAGCGTAATTGCTGTTCGCGAAATGATGCGACAGGGGTGAAAGCTTGCGATTCGTAAACAATGAATTAACCCTTTCCGGACGAGGATTCTTTGGAATATTCAAAATCTTCGCAGAGAAAATTAGATTATGGAAATACACAGTCAAGAAAGAGGGAGCTATGTAACGAACTTTTGTTATGCGAATAATTTGTATGTTAACTGGAATATGAAAGTTTGATGTCTCAAAAGTGCCGACGTTCATCCTCAAAAGGTTAACCTTATGGGTTATTTATCGTTAATAATGCACTAGTAAAAGAAAGCATTTATTTAGTATAAACCATACAAATTGCTAACAAGAACAACAATGTTTCATTTAAACTTGACACAGCTTAATGATATTTATGTTAAACCATATTAGGAACCTTCGTCTGACCGACACGATATTGCAAGGCAAGGGGTTAAGGATCGATCAAGTGAATGGTATTCATTCGGAGGATTCATTAACATTGATTTTGTATCTGCTGAACTCTGGTGCTATTGGTGCTATTGAAGTTTGGCACTAGTGACCTTTGGGTTGCGGTTCGAAACTGTTGCCGTATCGCGGGTTCAGCGGTGCAGAAAGTGGATGATTGATCGGTGCAACTGGTGATTACAAAAATGGCGTTCTACACGTTGCGTTTTTGTCCGTTTAAAAGTAATTGTGATCGAATACTAAACGTTCGAGACAGCTATTCTCCCAAAGGCTTCAACGATTATTTACTGGATTTTATTACACCAGTGGAGTTTGGGTTCAGCAGTACCCTAAAAGTGAAAAACAGCTTCGAACTCTCACCTACGAATCTTATACGCGACATATTCCTTCGGAAAATATCAAGCGACCAGTAGCTAAAGGCGAAAGCCACTTTCCCACCCTAAAAGGAGATTCTAACAGGCAGCTTACGTTTCCATCAACCTCCCATTGAACTTCATACTGGGAGATCAAGATTGAACCAAGGCGCAGTCGTAAAAATTTAAAGCAGCTTCCAGCCCTTATCTACCCGTTCATTCTCTCCCCGTGATGCTGCTACTAATACTGAATCCTAAAGCGTAGATAGGGAACTGGTAGCTCACGGACCACTCTTCTGATCCTTTGTTAATCAGCCTCGTCCATAGTATTTAGCCATAGCCTCATCCATAGTGGTAGTCATAGTATTTAACGAATTACATGAGAATATAGTATATAGTAGAGAGAGAATATAGTAGATATATAGACGAGCAAAAGAAGAAGAATTAGACTACGATCGTCAGAGCCTAAAAGATCGGTAGCTTAGCAAAGTAGCAAAAGAAGTGTCCCATAGGCCACCAATTTCCATGTACTGTATTCAGGTAGACTTGGAGAGCAGATTAGCTTTCATCTCTCCCTCCTGTTCGATACTAATCAAAAGACTGCCAATCAAAACTACCAGCAAAACATAGGGACGTCTCTAGCCCCAGCGTCGTTCCAGGACTTTTCTCTGGACTCTAAGACCTAGAGCAACAAGGGTTCGTTCACTCACCGATCTGCGGCACGTCGTAGTGTATGGTTCCCCTGGCGGATCTGAGCATAAGTTGAGAAGCAACGCCGATGCCATTCCCTAGGGGTGACGGTGGTTGAGCTTGATGCGGGGCAGAGTCTCCGGGAAGGTCGATGGAGCGGCGTCCTATGACGGGCATCTGGCTCCTTTTGCCGGGCGGCTTGCCGCCGTCTAGGGCGTACGGCCTGGCAGCGAACCCGGGGGCCTGATAGTCCCGCAGTTTCTCGCCCCGTGTCGGGTCAGTCTTGATGTTCGCAGCAGTGTTCAGTTTCTGCTCGAATAGATCGTCGTAGCTGGATTGTCTGGTTTCTTGGAACGCCTTGCGGCCGGACTCGTCGTCGCAGACGCGGATAGGTAGGCTGACGGTGTTCCTCGAGTGTCTGCAGTCTATCCGCAGCTTCTTGCCTCTCTGCTGGCCGGCGTGGTTGCTGGGTTGATCCTCGTGCGGCAGCAACTGTTCCCCGGGCTGGGACGCGGTCGCGTGATCAGAATAGAGGACGTTCAGCATGGTCGGCGACAACGCGAAGAAGACGGTCTGCAGCTCCCTAGGCTCCTTGATCATGTCGTCGATCAATATGCCGGCCGGGGTCCACGACGAGATCCGCGGTTCGTCGTTGACCAGCAGCCAATTGGACAGGTCGTCGCGGTGCGCCGCCTCGGAAGGGTATATCCTAAAGTGCAACAGGTTATTGCCGAGCGAGTTCAGCTCGTTCTTCTTCCTGATGCCGCCGTGCCGGTAGTCCTGATGCTCCGGCGCGCCTTGCATGATGATCACCGGCCGGTTGCCGACGGCTAGATCCAGGCCCTGTCCCACGTACGTGAGCAGCCAGAACATGCACACTGCCATCATATAGGAGGCCCTCGGGCGCGCGCGCGCGGCTCGCGACCAGCTCGACTGACACACGAACACCTCCGGGCAACCTGGACCGAGTCCGCGATCCGGTCTGGATCGGTGGCTTCGCTGCCGTTGATTGCAAAGGCACAACTCTTGGGGCGGGGTGGTTTTAGGCCGAGTTTTTCGTTACAGCTGAGCAGGGAGGGCGGTAGCGGTGTCGCGTGGGAGGGAAAGCGGGCAAACGATCGGCGATCAATCGATAGAATCCACGTCCACGGGGCCGTCTTCCGTCACATGGGTAGACGAATCGACTCGAATGTCCGTTAACGACGTCCCGCAGCTGGCATTCTCTCCGCGCCACTTTTCATCCGACTTTCCTCTTTCTATCCGTCGGTCGGGATCAGCCTCGCATTTCGAGCCGGCCGTTAGCTTCGCGATCGACGCGGGCTCGACACGGAGGGTCGGGGTCCTGAAATCAGGCGGTTAAAGTGAAGAATGAACGGGGCCGGTGTCACCGGGACGCGACGCGCGGCTCGATAGGTGTGCGGTGCGGTCATAGGTGGTGCCGTGAGGTTATTTGTCAATGGTGCTGGTGCGTCGTGGGTGCTTTCGGGGTGCTCTCGAGGTGCTCGGCAAGCGCGGGGCAATAACTAAACCCGATCGATCCGATCGGACACGGTTACGCGATCGAACCGTCCTTTTCCTGGCCGCTCGCTTACCGCTCGATCCTCTCGCCTTCTCTCGCATGTCGATCACTGGATCCCGACTGTCTCCTCTAGAGCAACCTGCGTCCTCCCACGTCCCCTGCGGCAAACATCGGTCCTCCAGTTTCCGGACACTAACGATCTCCTCTATGGAGTGTCCGACCGAGGATCCTAGGTCTCGAAGCTGACTTACTTGGTCCCGGCCAGTCCGGTTACCAAAGATCACGCCGATAGTCCGATCGACAGAAGCTGTCACAGGTGCGCGTTTCTACGTGCGGCGACACGGCGTGCAACGGTGACATCGAACCCTCTCTCTCTTTCTCTCGCTCTCCCCGGGACGACTTTCGAGTGCGGAAAAGTGGCTGTGCAGGACAAGAGATCAACAGGTGCCCGAAAAATGTGCAAAACCGTGCTCCCGCGAGTTGGAAGGGGGGATTATTAATTAGGCTGCGGGGGACGGCGCGAGCCGTCGGAGAGGCGAGATCGCAGCGGACATCGATGTGCAGAGACAGAGGAGGCTGGTGAACGTGGCTTGTGCATAACAGGAATATACATAGGCTCGTGTAGAAACAGAGACAGACAGAGAGAGAGAGACACGCAGAGACAGAAATGATCAGAGACAAGGTGTGCAGAGAGCCGCGGGCTACATTACACGTAGGTGCGTACGGTGTACGGAAATACTTGCTTCTCGGTCTGCTCGCCGACTTCTCTCCCACTTTGCCCACCGTTCTTTAATCGTTGCACTAACTGCCGGCGAGAAGGGGGGGCACCTTCGATCAGAACCCCCGTCCCGAGACGCACATGCCACGATCTCCGTCGAGCAGATCCTCCACGAGCGTGTTGAATCTCGCTAGCCCTCGGTGTCTTATCCTGACCCGGCTGCAAGCGGCTTCCCACTTCTCACTCGCCGGCGATATACCTTCGGTCTCTCGATCTCACGCGAACACAAAATGGTGCGAACGTTCGGCTAGCATGCTGCCGGCTGGCTGCGGATGATCGTCATCCGACAAAGACGTCAACTTCGAGGATAACCCTCGTCTTCTAAGCTCCTGGTGCACCGGATCCGGCCTGTGCAGCGTGTCCGCGGTGGATACGCTGCGTCGTCGACGGTCACTTCACGTCCGGACACTGTCTTCCCTCTCGTCGCGATCTCGCATCGGCCGCGAACGAGCCGAGCCGAAGTGTAACCGCCGCGCGGCGCGGAAAGAGACGCGAGGAACGATGATGCCGGGGACGTACGACGGGGCTCGTGTTGATCCGCGGGGCGCCGCGCCGGTCTCGACTTCTACGGCGGATCCGTTGCACCTTTTCCGGGCTACGGCGGACAGGGCTGGACAGCCAAGACAAGCGAACTGCGACGACGACGAACAAGCTCGACGCGATAAGGAGGTTGCGGCCGTGGATGTTGCTTTGTTGGCCGAAGGTCGAGGGATGGAGGATCGAAGGGTTGGGACAGTGGGTTAGTTTAGCGAGTGAGCTGGCTGGCGCCCTCACCAGAACTAACTCCCACGCTGCGCGACAACAGTCACCGGGTTTAATACACCGCGCATCCCCTCACTAGACCGTCGGCTTCCCTTTCTCACCCTCGCCCAAGTCAGACCCTCCGTCTCACCCCTCTCCACAGCACACCCTGTCGCCCCCGCTACACCCTCCTTCCCGGCCACGGCTCGTACTAACCCGGCCCCGGCCACCCCCTGCATCGCACGTTTCCGTTCCGCATCGAATCGCACACGCACGCATCGGCAACCTTGTACCTTTTTCCCCGATGCGTTTTGAACTTGCAATGCATTCTTTTTTCTGCTTTTTTTCCTCTTCTTTTCCCTTGTCTCTCAAAGGGACCGTCGCAGTTTTATCTGCTTCCGCCTGGCTTTCTTTGGAAGTTGACGTTTTGCTGGTTCCGTTGGGGAATGGGGGGTGGTTGATTATCGGCCTCGAGCGGTGTACAGCGTCTTTGGGAAGTTTCCGTGTTAGCCGCCCCCCTCCGTTCCGGTAATGAGGGAAAATTATGTATCGAGTGGGACAAATGCTTAGTGCGCGCGGCACCGGCCACGATACGTGCGCGTAATCCTGCGGGCTCTGCCTCGCCGTGTGCCGGCCGCGATAGACTTCCGTAATGGAAGCTTGATGGTGGATATCGTTGCTGAACGATCGTTCTCCCTTGCGCACGGTTAATTATTCGAGAGCAGGTTTCCGGCGTTCCGTTGTTTTCACCGATCTCGCTCGCGGTTTATCGTCGAGCTTGGTACTCGAGTTTTGAATTGGTTCGGGATTGTTTATGTCACTGGAATGGATTGATATAGAGGAATTAACCCTTTGCACTCGGAAGCTTTTCACTAGGAACAGTCGACACTTTCCGGTGAGAAACTAATGAGAAAACATACGGAAATTAAGAAACAAAGCTATTTTATGTAAATATTTCACTCATTGATGCATTATACAAAGCTGAATTTTATATGTAACGATTTGTAATTTTGTTGTATCAAATCAAATGGTGACTGAGAGTCACCTTTCGAAACTAATGAGAAAACGTACATTAATTCAAGAACTGTTTTATTTGAATATTTCACCTATCGATGCATTCTACAAAGCATATTCTATATAAGACTATAATTCTGCTATGTCAAATCTATCGGTGACTAGGGGTCACCTGTCAAGCGCAAAAGGTTAAAAGTTGTTGAAGGATTCACGAGTTTGGGGATTCAATGGTTTTCATGGATGATAACGATACCGCAAGCTTATAGAGCTTTAGTTGTCTTGGACGTTCGGACGTGTTACTGACTCGCGCAAGCGAGAAACCCGATAGTAATTTATTCCTATTGAATGCACGAGAATGCAATTATGCGACGGTGGATTTTGGAACTTTCTCCCAGTGAACTAATGTTACTCTGAATAACAGGATACTTCGGTGGTTTCAATAAAACGCTGAAATCCTGGAATAAATAGGATATAATACAAAGGTTGGTAAATAGTTAGCACATCGAAAGTACTTAGTTACCGATACCTGGGAGAATGTTTCTTAATCGGTGTATTTAATCAGAAATTTGTATGATACCATCGTGTTTAGGATCTCTCGCGGAATAAACGAATGAAAGATAACGTATAAAGCATACCTATGATTTATGCGATGATTGAAACATCATTTTTACTATAGTTACTCGAGGAATTGCAACGAATAGGGAAAAACGCTTTAGCTATCCTTCGGACTGTCTCCTAGGGAGCACACTATATCTTTTCTACCCACAATACACCCACGTTCTGAATGTTTCACGGAAATATACCGGTTCAAGTGTCCGTTTAACAACGAGATTTTAACCATCTCATTTGTCCTGCTTGTCATATTATACCGTAAATTATAAAATTTAGAATATTGCACTTTCCTCTTTTTTCTTGGTTACTAAAAATACTCCGAATTTAATATGATGTGTCGTTCACAGTGGAAGAGAAGAGTTTATAGAAATATTCTGCGACTGATTAGCAGCTTCGCGCGACGTCTTCTATTCTCGTAACCGTGAAAGATAAATTACCTCGTCGCCAACGTTATTTTCGCGTGAAAATGGAATATTGTATTTTAAACAGAGTTATATTTTTAACACCACTAATTATGTTCCAATATAATTACAGAATATACAGAATATATAATAAATTACAGAATTTAATACACCGACACATAAAAGTTTGTTAACACTTTTATGAATCTCCTTCTGTATTATATTATATATAATAAAATATTATTCCTACATTCACAATGAGATTAAAATTAAGAAATTGAAAAAAGAAATTTTTCAATAATTCTACTTGTGCATACCTACAATATAAATAATTAATATACAATTTTATTTCTCAATACATATTCACATTCTCTATAATAGTACATTCACAAATAATACTCGAGCACTGTCGAACTGTCAGTCCATATAAAACGATTTCTCCACCGACTGCAATCAAGCATTGTTCAATTCGTCTCTGTCACTGTCAAAAGATCCCCAATTTCCCACGATTCGATTCGTACGAGCCCGATCGTCGTTAGATTCACAACGAAAAATGAAACACGATTAATCGCGTATTCATTAATCGCAGTTTAAAATCCAATCCGACGTAATAATTTATTCGCGCACGCTTGAAACATGCGTACTGCGTTGAAATCACGCCGGTTTACTTTAATTCGCGCGATGGGAGTTTCATTATCTTTTTATCACGAATTTAATGAGGTAAGTCGCGGCGTTTTTTCTTAATTGCGAGGGAAGCTGCTCCCTGAAACGCAACGGCGCAGATGTTTCCCGCGAATATGCGAGCAACGGGAGTAAGGTGTTGCTAATTGTTTCGTAGTTGTGAACTAGTATTTCTCTGGCAATTTTATATTATTTAATTTGATGGAACATTTCATTAAGTTTGATGTTCGTTTACATTTTTTGCTTTGGTTACTCCTCGGGAAGTGGAGATTGTCTAAGTGATTCTTAGGATACTTATTTGCTGAAATGATCAAGTGCATAACAAGTGATAAAAAAAGTATCCATGGTATCCATTGGTATCCATTTGAGTGAATATTGAAGCGATTTTTAGGCTATTTATTTGCAGAAGTGATCAAGTGCACGAAAGAAAGAATAAAGAAAGTATTTTAAGTGTAATGCAACTGCTAAAATTTAAGAGCTGAAATGAAAGTACTAAAATTTCACAAGAAATAGGATGCAAGTAATAAAATTGGAGAATTAGAATGAAAGTACTAAAATTTCGTAAGAAACAGGATGAAAGTACTAAAACTTCACA